CTATAATGGGGCACTTCCTCTTACAGCCGCCCCTTGGCCTTGGGAACTGCTCATCACCCTCTTCAAAATCCCCCTGCAATTCAAAGCAATAATGTCCCACATATGAACTCATAATGTGGCATTGCCTGGAAAGATGCTTATCCCAAAATCCAACATATGAGGGTATTGAATTATGTGTAAGAATAATACTCACATATGCATAGACATGACGTCCAGTCTTCTCATGCTTATCTCTCACATGCTTGTATGCGAATCTCATGCCACAACCCGAAAAGCTACAGACAAAAGGTTTATGTTCAAGGTGTACTGCCTTGACATGTTGATGGAGATTTGATTTCTGCAAACGTATAAGCAAAATCTGAAAAGGAAACAATAAAAATCTAACAATGGCAATGCAAAGAATGAAAAACTTGAAAAACTTTTTTTTTTTCTTTCCAAAATAATGAAATCTGTTTGCTCTTTATGTGTATACATACAACCCATGAAAAGTCAAGTCAGTAACTCACAGTTGAAAATGGGTGAAGACAACCCTTATAACTGCGTTTAATTCTCTCAACTGAAGCACCTCCCCCTTCATGCGTGAGGAGATGCCGTTTGATGTTCCTTCTCAGCTTCTTGGTCCCACATATCTCACAGGTGATATGTTGGTGGCAGGACTGAATATGGGCCTTAAGGCATTTCTCATTAGAAAAATATTTCATACAGCCTGGTTCAGAGCAGAATGCCTCCACTGAATCCAGCTTAACTACACAAATAAAAGGATATATTTAGAGTTTGCATCAAACATACCACCAAAAACTTCAACAATAGCACATCCCCGCATTTTCAGAAAAAATTGTATCTTACAACATTATTCACCACTGATGCACACACAAGGCAGAATACAAAAAGAAGATCGAATTCAGAAATGAAAGCTACCATGAGAATTCTCATGCTTCCGCAGCTTTGAAGCAAATTTGAACACCTTTGCACAATACTGGCATACATGCTGCTTCTGACCTCCAACTTTAGCTTAAGGATCATCCTCATTGTGGAGTTCTTTCACATGCCTCCTCATGTTACCTTGGGAAATAAACCCAGGATTACAGTTTTCAATCGGACACTTAAAGAGTTTCCCTTGGTGCTGAAGAAGATGACGATTTAAGTCGTCCTTTCTTCTGAAGCTGGAACAACAATCATCCACCGAACAAACGTATGGCCACTGTAAAGAATAAGCTAAATGAATTCAGGAACCAATAACCATAGTTTCAAAATACAAGTGAACAAGCATTCAATTCTAACTGAACAGTACGTGATTGAGGCTTGCTTGATGGAGCTTCCCAGGAGGTATCCTACCTGGTACTGGTCCATTCAAGTCAAAACCTCTCGCATTTTGTTGCTCTTTGTGTGGGATCCAATGCTTCACGATATCCAAAGGATAGTAGTTAAAAATGTTGAATCCTGCAAAAAACTAATCTTCAATTGATGTGAAAATTACAGGACCTTCACCCGAAAAGTAAGAAAAGTTATAGACACAATCAGCTGTAATGAAGCTATCAAACTAATCGGTAGCAATATCAAGCTATACAAGCTGCCGCTGGTTTCCTTAAGACAACTTCAGACACCAATACTAATGGTATGGAATGATGTGAAGGTTATTAACAATTTGAAGTTAATGGCAAAAGTAACCAAATTAGCACCACATTCTTGGCAAGTATTGGATTTTCCCCTCTCTCCTTCCCCATCCCCATCAGCCTCTTTGGCCATTTCCATCTCTTCCTGTAACAAAAGTAACCAAATTATAAGTAAAAATTAACATAATCAATCTGAAGACAACCCAGCTACAGATTTTGTTTAAAATACAAAAACCAAATGAACCCACAACAGTAAATCCCTCAAATTCGAAAACCCAATTCATAAAAATTCATAATTGGACCAGAGAAAACCAAAATTAAAAAGGACTGAAACCTTGTGGTGAGTGAGGATAAGAGAAGCAATCAGGTTCTTTTTGGACCTGCAGATGCCACAGTACTCACAATAATGTCGCCTTATATCCCTGAAAATAGGCCCTTCCCCCTCTGCTTCCCCTTTACCCATTGATTTCTCGCCCTCTCTCTCAAATCTCACCCGCCAAAATCAGCAACAACCGAAACTTCATGGCTAGGGCTTTCATTTTCTTGAAGAAAAACAATTTACCACTCCTCATTTTGCCACGTCCACTCTAAAATCAGAGTGGACTCACCGTGGCCTATTGATCTCTCTGTCATGCACACACATATTTTTCTTGTGGTAATTTTAAATTAAATTGTTTGTATATCCTTGTTGCTTTCGCATATTTTCAGGCATCTGGCTTTGGTATGGAATACTGGAAAATGCAAAACCTAGCTTTCGTTCATCAGCTTGAGGAGGTAACACCATAGACCATTGCGACGGGTCTAATTGAACTGATTTTGCACGGTATATCCTTGAGCATGCTATACTATTTATACAAAAATATTTATACAAAACGACCCATGTATAACCGAGCGGCTATACTCTTTTTTAAATAAAAAAATCCCGCGTATAGCCGGCCGGCTATACAAAATTTCAAAGAGTATCGCCCCGCGGCTGTACTTTGCGCTGAGCGCCCGCTTAGCAACGGTCAAACTCGTACAGCCGAACGGCTATACTATTTTTAGTTAAAAAACCCCAAGTATAGCCGAGCGGCGTTACTCTTTTTTCAAAAAAAAATCTAGATAAAAAACCCCGGGTATAGCCGGTCGGCTATACTATTTATAATTTAAAAAGCGGGACCCGCCTGGCTCTTAGTGCCCGCTTTGCAACAGTAAAAATAGTACAGCCGAGCGGCCATAACATTTTTATTTTAAAAAACCCCAAGTATCGCCGCCCGGCTGTACTCTCTTTGAAAAAAAAAATCCCGACTATAACCACACTGCTATGCAATTTTTATTTCCCAAAAAAAAAAAAAAAACCCCAGGTATAGCCGTGCGGCTACACTATTTATAATTTAAAAAGCGGGACCCACCCGAAGCCTAGCGCCTGTTTTGCAACAGTAAAAATAATATCGCTGGTCGGCTATACTATTTTTATTTTAAAAAACCCCAAGTATAGCCTCGCGGCGCTCGGCAGTACTCTTTTTTTCAACAAAAAAAAAAATCCCGCGTATAGCCGCCCGGCTATACAATTTTTATTTCCCAAAAGCCGCGCGGCTATACTATTTGTAATTAAAAAGCGGGACCCACCTGGCTCTTAGCGCCTTTTTTGCAACAGTAAAAATAGTATAGCCGTTCTGCTATAGAATTTTTATTTTAAAAAAAATCCATGTATAGCGGCTATACCCAGGCACGAACCCCAACCAGCCACCATCTCCCTGTAAACCACCACCAACCCAGCCACCCAAGCCTGCCCCAACCCCAAACGATCCATGAACAGGCCTCGATATAGCGAAATCGTACAGCCATGATTTTGCGCCTTCTCACAAGAACCACCACCACAGCAACGTCTCTATTTACCAAAACTGTACGCCTCCGTTAACATTGGCTGTTTCTGAATTGAAAAGAGCTTCAAAATTTCAAACAAACAAAAAAGAAAAAAGAAAAAAAAATCATAAAGAACAGATGTCCCAAATCCGTAGAGATGGGGTTTTGATTCGGTGGCGGCCAGTGCACAACATAATTGTCAATATAACTAGTCAGAATGATATCCGGCTGGTTTTAGCAAGTTTTCGTTATGAGAAGAGAAGCCCGTTGGTTTTCTCTTCTCCAACACCAACAACAGACGAGCAAATGGGCTCAAGTAGGCCTTATTTATTTTATATGGAATTTATTGAATATATATATGGGCTTGATGATATCAGGTTTGATTGCTAACCCCAATTATGGATATAACCTTATTTGATGAGGATTAAAACATGTAATTACTCTGAATTGTGCTCCAAGCTAGGTTTAGACCAATATATAAACAAACTTATTCGCATCAACAAAAATACAAAACTCTTTCTAGAGACCAATTTTTAAAGAATTTAACTGTTGAAACTCTCTCTGCATAGAGAAGAACAGATTTCGTCCCAAGGAGAAATTGCGGCCACCACGGGTAAGTGATTTGTTTGCGGACTGATTTCAAGTTAGAACATTGCTGTCTAATTGTACGACTTTCTTTTTGGAAAATATGTCATTGTTGTTGATCTGAAATTTCTCATAGGGTTTTCTAAAACGAGTTGATTGTGTGAGAGTTTAGTTGGGTATTTGCATCTCGCTTAGTTGCAGAGTATAACTGGGTTTTTCTTGTGTGTGTGTATATCTCTTGTAGCTCAAATACTGCATTGATCAGCAGTCCTTAAACCCTAAACCATATAATTTCATGGGTGAGTTACCGGCGGCTTCCGCAAGTTATCAAGCTCAAGCAACTTCTTCTTCTGAAAGTTTAACGGACAGATTTAGTGATCTTCCAGATGACGTTGCTCAGCTTATCCTTTCCCCGCTCCCTTTCAAAGACCTCACGCGAGTCGGTTTTGTCTCGAAAAGATGCAGACAATAACATCTATCAGTTCCGGTGGTGGATTTTGCTACTTATTAACCAGAAGAAATGACGGTGGAGGATGATCGTACTCGGTCAGAAATAATAAAAACCCACCAAGAGAATAAAGTGAGGGTGACAAAATCTTGGGATAGATACTTGTTCTATCGCGGTGATAATAGGTTGCAGCGCTTCTGCACGGTATATCCTTGAGCATGCTCAAAATTTGAAGAAAATGGTCTTTCCTCTTAGTGTGGATTCTTATCAATCAAAAGCTGAAGCAGAGATAGTGAGAATGAGTAGAAGCAAGATGATTTCCACTTCCACAGTAATCATTCGGAAGTGAAAGGAAGAATCTTTGATATTTTCGGAAGACTTTATTTGTGCTCTTAATATTTGCACGAGCCAAAATTAAAATGAAATGCATGTAAGAATCAACTCCGGGTATAAAACTCAGGCTTAGATTACAAAATTCCATGCTACCCTGACAGGACATTTCTGCAATATTTCTCAAATAATATCTCCTTGCAATTTGCTTCACTCAAACCTCAAAATGTCTTGCAAGGCACAAAAATTAATAATTTGGGAAAGGAAAAGAAAAGAAAAGAGAAGAAGATATCAGTTTGAAAAGAGAAAAACAAAATCAACCGCACCCCGGCACTCCAGATGAACACGCACATGACCTTAACCCAAGAAGAAAAGAAATTTAAAAAGTTTTAAATTTGATTACGAGAGAAGGAGAAATTAACTTAGTTTTTTCTTTTCCAGAACCCAGTTTTGAAATCTGTTCAAATACTCTTCATCAAATTTAACATACAGTTGCAGCAATTTCCTGTACCCCATCATGATATGTTTGTCCACATAATCTTCACACCTCTCATAGAGCGCTGGAATTGTTAGAACCATGACAAGGCCTGCCCATATAGGAAGACAAAATTAAAAAAACAAACTGATTATTGAATCTGGTGATGTCTTCAATTCATTTTAAGAAATTAAACATAACCCAAATGGAAATGAAACTTACTGGTGTAGCTCAAAGTAAGGAAATCAGTCAAGCCACCAGCAAAATAAATCAGCAAGAGGTATGCAGCTACTTTGAAGAACAATCTTGAGTCCTTGCCGAGAGAAATATCTTGAGAAACCGAGAGCAAAGCATTTACCCGACTGCGAATGGAAGCTGCCATTTCATTTACCATTTCTTCTGACAACTGCAGTTGAGGCAGGGGAGGAGCCGGTCTGTTCACAATTAAGAACAGGTTCTGATAAAATCAGTAGAAGAGGAAATATGTTGAGTAAAAAATTATGCACCAATTTGAAAAGTTTTTGGCAGGGTCAAAAAGCCCAATTCTGGATTGTGCAGATCATTCAAATTTTGAAACTATTTAGAATGACAAACAAATTCAACAGCTTGAGCAGAATGAAAGCTACTCATTTGTGGTTTTGATAGTTAATTAGGATGAAGATGCTCAAATCATGCTTGTCTCATACAATGGCACCAAATTTACATCAAGTAAGAGAAGAAGCACAATTTTCGTTTACCGGTTGAGAATGGCTGCAGATTTAGCCCAGAGAAAGAGAATGCTCATCAGGAGGAGAAGAACACTTGAGACAAGTGACAGCAGAGTATAACCAGACTTCTCAAACACCACCCAAGCAGATAGAGTTACTAACAATATCCCCAAAGTCAGATTTTTCTGCCTCCACAGAATCACATCTGCAACTGTACTACCAGCAAAAGCATGGATTATCAGACCCATAAATCCTAAATCCAAATAAAATAGATCAAAATCTGTCATTGTATCAAAGACCAATTTTTCAGAATCTTGAGTTCTTCTTATCTGTATGCATAATTCATCGTGCATTTAAATCAAATCAAAACTTATACTAAAAGAACTCCAATACTGGATAACAATTTCAATCACAATTATGATGTTTTAAGAATTGAAAGAACAGAACCCATGATCAAAAAGTGGGAGAAGTTCATACAAAATGATGAAGATGATGACTTACCAAGGCCTCCTCCAAGGATCTCGTGAAGAGTTCTTTGCCTGTTGAACAATCTTTCATAATCTGCAGATGAACCCATTTGATACAGAGCCAGGAATCACAGCCTGGGATCCAGTTCAGATCTCTTAGACCCAAAAATGATGTGGCTTTGAGTCTGAGATGATCCTCAGCAAAAGAGAAACAATGGGTTCTCTTTAGCTAAACTTTTTCTTTCACTGAGCCCCACGTATATGAAATGTATTAGGTTTATATACATATGACTGTTAAAAGTGCGTTTGGTGTGGTGGCCAGTGGCCACAGACAGAGTCATGTAGCTGATAGCTTCCAGCTTAAAAGCGTCATAGGCCGCTCATGGCTTTTTCTTGCTTTTTATTTTCTTCTGAAATGTGCAATTAAACCTTACTTTCGTGGAATTACATACAAACGATTATTTATAATCTGCGTAGAAAACAGAGAGACTAACTGTTCTGCTCTCAGGTTGGCTGCTTTTCTTTTCTTATTGCCGGCCCTGTTTTTCTCCTTCACTCTTGACCCGAGTGACTCCAACTTTTAAAAGGGTATTTGGCATTGCTGTTATTTACAGAAGGATGCCATTGTTTTTAAGCGCATCCAGTTGGGTCTCTCGAGGGTATTCTCGTCCACATTGCTTCGTTGGTCGGTTTTTGTGGGCCCAGCTTTTTGCCATGGCCAATCACAAGATTCTTTTTCCAGAACATCAAAGTCAGAATAAGAATGCACATAACTCCCTCGGGAAAAAAAACAAAAAAAATTAGAAAATAGAAGACATTTATTCTTAATTTCATTATTTATGACAGGCAATATATTATAAAATTTATTTTAAATATATGTAAAAAATCTCAATGTTTTTAAAATGAAGTCAAAGTTTTGACCTTAAAACCAGTATAAATACAGTAATTTTCTCAAACTCTCATTTACAAAATCATACTCGGCATATTTATTATTCAACCCGTTTGCAATGGAGATCATATCTGGGAATTGGATGAGCCCCCAGAAAATGAAGCAAGAAATGAGAAGCATAACCAAAATGCAAAAACTGTAATCATCCAATTGAAAAGCTGGGAGGTTATTTCTTCAAGTTTATACAATGTGAGTCTAAATTTGGAGTCTAAATGGAGATGTATATGCTGCAAAGTACAATAACCTTGCGGCAGGGATGTAAGTCAACCGTCTACACCTGACACAGATCATTGTCTTCAACCAGTAAACATAAAATCTACGAAAGAATGTACTTTTCTTTTCAAACATTTTTCTTTTCGCTGTTTGAGCTTTCATTCT